GGACCATGACCTGAGCCGAAGGCAGACGCCCAACGACTGAGCCACCCAGGCGCCCGAAATTTTTTTTTTTAAGATTTTATTTATTTATTTATTTGACAGAGACACAGCGGGAGAGGGAACACAAGTGGGGGAGAGGGAGAAGCGGGCTTCTCGCTAAGCAGGGAGCCCGATGTGGGGCTCAATCCTAGGACCCCGGGACCATGACCCCAGCCAAGGCAAACGCTTAACGACTGAGCCACCCAGGCGCCCCTAGACTGGAAACTTTTAAAAGCTCAGAGGCTAGGGGCGCTTGGTTGGCTCAGTTGTTAAAGCATGTGACTTTTGATCTCCGGTGGTGAGAGGGTGGTGAGACCGACGTTTGGCATAGAGCTTACTTAAAACACACACACGCATATAAAAGCTCAGAGCCTATGTCTGGTTTTTGCTCACTATCAAATCCCTTAGGACCTGATTGATCAGGAAAAATAAATATTTGTGGAGCACATGAATAAGTGATATCTTGACAAAAACCCAGCTCAAAACCTGGGTTAGCTTCTGTGATGCTGGGCAAGTCAATTGACCTCTCTGAGCCTCAGCTTCCTTTTCTACAAGTGGGTTTAATTCATTCTTTCAGCAAGTCAGGCACTGGTACACAGGACTGAGAAGATCGTTGCTTCTGTGGAGCTTAAGGAAAGGCAGACAATAAAGGCATAAAAGAAAAAAGATGATTTCACAGGTGCTAAGAGGAAAATAAACGGATGATGAGATTACAGAGTCATTACAGAGTAGTCACAGAATGTGTCTCTGAGGTGGCTTTTAAGTCTTTCCTCAAAGCGCCTATCAAGTATCTTTCTTATCAAATAACCCATTTTTGTAGAAATTCATTGGAAAACCAATTCTTTTGGCTCCTGAGGTGGAGAATTTGTAACTGAACCCCGCCTTCTAGGCGGAGTCACACCGGCCTGTGGCGGGCTCTCATTGGCTTCGTCAGACCACATGGTTGGGCAATCCGGCAGCCGGCGCCCCGCCCCTTGGGCATCTCAGCCGTCGATCACTGACCGGGCCCCGCCCCCGGCGCGCGGCCGAGTCCCTCTCTATAAAAGGAGCCGGCGCGCAATGACGAGCCTGTACGTCGGCGCGTAACGGGGGGGGGTGCGTGTGAGGTCCG